GAGTAAAGCGCAGCCAGCGCCATCTCTGAACCGATTGTCAAGATAATGTGTGACCCTCAACATCTCACAAACCTATGGGCCTTCATGGCCTGTTTCAGGGATAGCTTTACTATTTATTTTTTTTTACTTACCGTTGTGAACCAAAGAAACTTTTAAATGTTTGCACCTGAGAATTCAAAAGAATTCAAATAAAATTAAAATATGGAAGTTATAGAAGTTTAAAATGGATCATGTATTTCTCTTTTAGAGATAGTTGGGTGTTACACTGTGAGAGAAATTAACAGAAACAGAGAAACTGGGTACTTCTGTAACAACAGGATAATGCTGAGGAGATAGTCTGGATTCACAGATGGAGTCATTGCCTTGTAATTGGGAAAAAAGTTATACTGGATTCAAATCTCAGTGGCTGCAATCACCTATCTTCTTCCCCCCCCCCAAAGCCTCTTTATTAAATGTTTAGAATAATTCTTCAAGCTGCATTGTTCTTAGGTATATTATACAGTTGATGTAATATTGTTACATAAACTAGACACNTTTGGATTTCTTATTATTTTGTATTTTTTTTTTTTCAGTTAGTGATTGTGTATCACCAACTTATGCCACGGGTGATGCAGATTGTTAGGGCATTGATTGTCACTGATGAGGAACAAGCTATTGAAGCCATGGAAATCTTTGACAACCTTGTTCAGTGTGTTACAGCTGTCATTGTTCCCCATATTAAACCATTAGTTGAGATGTGCCTTGAGTTCGCTAGCAACAAGACTCTGGGTGATGGTATTCGTGTCAAGGCATTGAGTTTCATTGGCTGGTTAACACGAAACAAAAAAAAGGTAGGATAATTTATGTCAGTATGTTAGAGTCATCTTTTTTCCATATTGTGTGATGGATAGGGTAAGATAATTCTTGCTTTTGGTTAGCTTATATATTATGTTGATACCTTAACGTATGTTAATTTATAGTTAGAGTTTGTATAGAAGGTGGTTTGGTCAGTTTAATAGTGAACCTAACGAAGAGACGGAAGACAATCAGGGTGCTGGAGGTGTAGAGAACAGGGCCACTTTGGGAGTAACTGCCCCTATGAAAGGAAGGCTAATAATGAAATGCGCCACGAACATGAAGATATGCCAGGCAGATACACACGGGAATTACCAAGAAGCCACAATGAACACACGAACAGGAAGGGAACCCAACCGTCGGGAAATGAGCAATGGCTGGCAGAGAAGGGTGAACGCTGGCATATCCATTAAAGCCCCTCCATCAAGCATTGACCTTAATCACGGAAAATTCCGATCCTAGTCTGGTTACCCAAGGCTGGGTCGGTGACAAACCGTGCATGGTGACCATAGATACTGGAGCGTATGTAACTGTGGCTAGGCCAGACATCACCGACAGATGGCCCGAAAGAGAGTCTGACCAACGTTTCACGCTGCAAGCGGTATCTGGAGAAACCTTCCCCATCCGGAAAGAAGTTTTTCTAACTCTGACCCTGGGGCAGCGATCACTGAAAATGTGGGTTTTCGTCGCAGATATCACCAATGAGTTCATTCTAGGACTGGACATACTATGCGCCTACAATGCAACTGTGGACATAGGGCGACAAACTCTGCGTCGGGTGGAAGAAGTATCGTTATGGAGTCCAGGGGCAGGACCCTGTCCTTCCAGCTTAATAGTGGCAAAGGACCACGTGATACCCTCACAGAGTGAGGGTGCTATAAAGGGAGGACCATTGCTAGTGCCCACATTTTAAGTCAGTTCAACATTATTAGTGTTTATGTGTATGCTTTAAGCATGTCTCATTCCATTCACTAGTGAATTGTTTCTGAAAAATTTCCAATAGCAAATGAAATTTCATACATTAGTATTGTTGGATTTAAATCTGTGGTTCAGTTTATATTTGTCTGTATTTGCAGAACACATATTTATTATACAGTTTGTCCACAGGCTGTTGTGAAGAACAAGCTGGTACAACCTATTCTTGAAGTGGTGTTCCAGCTGATGAGCGTTCCTCCAGAAAATGAAGAGAAAGAGGAATATTTCTCAGAAGATGTGGATGGAAGTACACCCATGACTTGTGCTACTCAGACTCTTGATATTCTGGCATTGCATTTGCCTCCAGACAAGCTTCTACCTCCACTGGTGTGTCATATCACTTTCAAGATTTTATACTTATGAAAACTGAAAAATTATTCCATGTCCCACATCATCCATACCAGTTCTGGGGCCCACTCAGCCTCCTATCCAGTGGGCACCCAGGGCTAATAAATGTCAAAACCTGTGGGTGAAAAGTAAACCTGTTCATGTGCTTAACTAATTAAACTCTACATCATGATGACGTATGGTGGGTGGATAAACGACCTCCGTAGTCTAGGGGTAACGTTCCCACCTCATGACTCAACGTACGCGGGTTCAAACCCGGCAGAAGTCATGGAATTTTTAAGGGCGGAAAAATTCAGGGAACAAGTCTTCCGGGAGCGACTTTAAGCCATGTGTCCCGTGTTGTAGATTTACGGCACGTAAAACATCCTCACACCTCTAGGAGACCTCTGAGCAAAATTAGGCAAAGTTTCCCACCCAAGTAGTTTCCAATTCCTCCCGTAGATGGGGAAGTATCAGGGACCACTGCCAGAGAGGGCTGAACTCGCTGGCAGAACAGGGCTGATAGCAAGCACCAGTACTGGAAGGGCATGGCGACTAGTAGAATAACTAAAGGAGGACTCACAATAGATCAACAACTGGTCACAGTGCATGGGGAAACCCACTCCCTCCAAAATAATAATAATAATAATAATAATAATAATAATAATAATGGTGGCCGGATGTATAGAACCAGGCATTTGTGACCTTTGCACTAGTTGGAGTTGAGTGGTGAGCTTCATGCCCCAGCCAATTTACCCCCAGGGAGATAGGCCAAGAATGAAAATGAGGCCTCAAATAAATGTGTAGAGCAGTGAACATAACCAAATGCAGGCAGATATAGCAATATCAGTTTGAATGGGGAGGGTGTATTTGAGACAGTTTGCATCAGTCATCACCAGCGATCAAAACTGCTACTTACATATCATGTACATTTGGAGTGTCTCTGAAGCAAGTAGCAGCATCTATCACGAAATATTGAAACTGTGACTAATAGATTGTATACGCTTAGGCTGTATTTAAAATAAGCTCTGACATCCATTACTAATCGTTGAAAGTGACATGTAGCACACATACATGTTTCGTGTATTTGAAAGTAGTAAACTGATTTATATTAAATGCCCAATTTTATAGCTAGTTAGAAAATTGAAAACTTACAGAACTGACTAATAGAGATGGAGATATTTTCATTACTTTTAATAAGTTTTGTTCCTCAAATTAATTTGTATTTTGTGATGTGACATATTTAATACATTCATATACCTTCTTATAATGACTTAACAGGAAGAACCAGTCAAGCAGTGGATGTTAACTTCGCTGATATTGTTGTATTTATATACAGGATTATTATCCATAAGGATGGAAAAGCAGTCATGATCTGTCAGTGCAAATGAGACTTCATGCATTCATCATATATATGTTGGGCATATTCCTCCCTGTTTGATTTTATTACAGTTTTGAGAAATATGTGATAGCACTGTGGTGCACATGGTAGCATAGTTGGTTGAAGCACTTTACTACAGGCCAGGTCATGGGTTCAATTCCCAGTGAGATCATTGGATTTTTCAGTTTACCGTATCCTTCCAGCTGCACTAAGGTCCTGGTGTTGACTCAGCCTCTAACAGAATGAGTACCAGGATTCTTCCTGGGTGTAAAGGGCAACTGACATGTAAGGCTGACAGCATCACCGCCATCTGTGAGCTGATTTCTAGAAAATGTGAAAACCTCAATATCTCACAACCCTGTGGGCCTCCACAGTCTGTTACAGGGATAGCTTTACCTTCTTTTTATATGTGTTATGCCACTAAAGTTTATCTTGCATACTTTTACTTAAGATCT